ATTTTAGTTGGGTAACTCCACTACAACGGTCTTACATGTCCAAAATACACAGGGAAACGTTCACTTGCTGACATCTGCAGCAGAAATTGCATTGTCTGTTTGAACGCCCCATGTTGAAAACTGTAAGTAGTAAAGGAGGAATGGACGTATTCAGCAGAAAACTGGGCAGAAGTCCCTACGCCCGTCGACTGTGCGACTGCATTTAATTACAGCAGAAAACACTACCGACACTTTGCAAGTAAACATGGTTTTGTACAATTGAGGTAACCACGAGCCTTCAAAAGTCTTCGTACTAATGAGTTCCCTTAGCCAGTAACCTTATTTAAAAGCTAACGAGCAAGGGTACGGATGATGCAAGCGTTATAAGTCAATATCTCACGACCGATTTTAAAAATTCCTGTGCCCAAGTTAACACCACCAGACCAATTTGGAACGATGGTTTACTTCGATATCAGTTGCTAAGGCAAAGCTGTCATTTTGGGACGTGTTTATAGCAGGTATCTAGGATCGGCTTTTGGTGATTTGTACCACGTGCAACTAGTGACCTACTTTCAAGTCTCCTTCTACGACTTGGGCTATAACCAGTATTCTGTGCAAAGCCCTATTATCTTGTACATACATCTGGACTGATTATCAGCAGCATGAAGAGAGGGATTGGGCCGTATTTTGTGTTTTCTGGCATTTGCGAATTTTCCTGAGAATAAATGCAAGATTCGACTTTAGAAATTTAATTTTCCCAACCTTTTTTACATTAATGAACATGAAAGCCTTGTTAGAATGGAAGAAAAATCTCTGAACTTTATTAAATGTTCTGTGAGAAACGCTTATTTACACTAGCTGTGGAGACGACGGCAGTAAAACAATAGTGAACCCGTAGGACACCCATCTTTTTATTGTATCATTACACACGAATTCCTTTTTTAATAAGAAGCATTTTCAGCTCTATTTGTTTGAATGATGGAGCCTCTACTAAGACTTTCAATGATGATCTAGCTGATGAACTAGGACGGACCGTAACTTGATTTTTGGGACTCTAATTTATGCAACCAGACGAACCTTCATAATTCTTGCATTTTTTCTCTATATTACGGAACCGTTAAGTATGAATGCCGAACTCATATAAGAAGAAGAAGTGTTCCTTCTACTTAATGAACTTACTCAATCGTCATAGGAGGAGTGTAAAAACAGCTGGAACTACAGTACCTAGTGTTTACACGAACGGAGGGGCCACTCAATAGGTGTTTGTCACGTTCACAAATCAACGTCCCCCTTGCTTGTGGTGTTATTAGAGTAAATAACTTAATTCCCGAATAGTATCGGAATAGTATCATTTACCATACTGCATGTGCTACATGCTCCTGTGTCTGCGTCGGCCATCCCAGTCGAGGACCGAAGATTCGTATTAATGAACACAGCTAGCTGTCCATCCGTTTGTCGCCTTCTCAACCGTACAACCTTGATTGCCCTAACCAACACAAAACAATTGCCTAATTTCTAAGGGTTTGGGTAGTGTTAGCTGCCAAGTCAACCTAGACGTTCGCTACGAGGGTCACCGTCTGCGACCCCTCGTACCACTGCGTTCATTTTAAGACAGTTATAATCTGCCCAGATCCAGGTGGCTAGTGTATTACTCAGGCATCATTCTCCCGTCCAGTTTAGTCCGTCATGACGCTATGCCCCCTCTCCGCTTCTAAACTCCCAAACGCCCCAAACGCAATAACTCCAAGTCCCCCTTTTTCATACATTTTGTCTAAAGGCATAGTGGCGCAAAGAGCTTGAAACGTCGCCTTTCTCACAAAATACAGCCGCATTGTGATCAATAGTATCGGTTATAAATACACCCAACCACTAAACGTCTGAGTAACTATTGTACTAACACCGCACAGTTAAGAGAAAATGCTGGATTTCGGCCAAAACACCATCACCTCAACCATTCTGCGAATTCACTTCACACTGCAAAAGGAGATTGGCAATAGGCACCCATTTCTACATGCTCTCATACGGCTAAAGACTGATGGAACACTAGGCACATCCGTTTACTGCGACGAAAACTATAAAGAAGTCAGCAGCCTGTTCACTCGAGCAAAAGCACGCGTTCTGACAAGCATGGATGCCGAGTCGAATACAACTACTTGATTTAGCTGTCTTCGCAAAAACATATATACGTGGATATTTCGAAAATCTATGCGAGAATCAGCAAAACTCAAGAAAATAAGAATTACCCAGTTCGAAGTAGGCGCTCAAGTCAAATACTTGGTGAACCCAATTTTGCAGTAAGAATGCCTCCGAACTCATTGAAAGACATCTGGCGAATCACTAAGTACGAATGGTGCATAAACCCACGACTACAACGCGCATGCAGAATTCACATCTAAGAGTGGATTAAGTATTTAGATAAGAAACCGTCCACAAGATCCCCGCGACGTATGCAATGCCCTTTATTGTGGTCGGACTGGAAAACCCGCTATGACACGTATGCACGAACATTAATCGGCCTTAAAAATGCCAGGCAGACATGCATATCCTGGAGACCGGCTACAACTTATCGTGAGACTGAACTCGCGTAGCCGCTGTCCGCCTTTTCAGAAAGCGACCTGAGAAACCGGTGTCAAAAGTTCGTCAAATAAGGTTTCTGACCTCCACTTAAGTGCGTGACTGCCTTCAAGTTGCCTTTTTTAGAATGTTTAACTTCCAGGAGTATCGACAAAGACAAGAAAGCTAGGCTGACCACTTCGGACGTGTTAGCCGTCCTCTGGCAGCCATACCTAACACCAGACTAAGACCCTGGTTGTTTGATCATTGGGCAATTCTGTTCCTGTGCTCCGTCACTGGCCGATTTACCGAACAGCCAGACAGAAAAGGTACCGGCTAAATATGCAGGCAAATATTTGCCCATTGTTTGCTGCTGTATGGGGTAACTGCGAGGGGCTCTAAACACTTGAGAGGCAGCCGCAAGTTGTAATGGGACAAGAAAGTTTCGTAACGCGATCTGTGCTCCACCTTTCACTGTTAGCATACTCAATCGCAACTTACAGGACGAGGAGTTCGTATTTCAGTGGTTGAGGAGTCGGACTTAGAACAAACGAGTCGTAATTTCGAGCCTCGTGGGTGGGTATGACTAACTGATAGCGGCTGACAAGCCAGACTTGGTCATTGCGGCCTCCCTTGTCTTTGGCGGTAATGCTATTCTACACATATAAATGTACATTGGTAAAAGGGCGCCCACCGAACGTTCTTACGGAACTCCCTCGTCCCTTTGTGCCTTACGGGCTCTCCCTCTCTATCTCACGTCCAGCCAACGCACAGCAACGCATGACATGGGCCGAATTGTATCAGCACCAAAGACAAGGGAGACTGGAATGGCCACTTCTGGCTTATTATCCATCGTCAGCCAGTCATACCCAACTCCGAAGTGTGGTACCCCTGGGGCTCGACCCCGGGACCTGTTAGTTGTAAGTTCAACCGATCGAAACCGACAAGACAACGAGCCCGTGGTTCAGCGATTAGAGCTCTGGCTTTGACGGTGGATATGCGAACCAACCGTGTGAGACGAAAACTCGTCAAAAAATCCGCTTCAGTGACCCTTGACCTCCCTCTCTGACATCGGTTCTGGGATGCTTAACTTAGGCAATAATAAATTACCCTCGGTGGACGAATCAGGTTTTCCAGATGAACAGGCCAAATTTCACTTCTAAGATGTTCTCCATGGAAAACCTCACACGCTACTCCATAAGGTTCCTTGGTGTCTGAGATGCTTAGATATTTTCAATGATGGTTATGTGCGATAAATATTATAAGTGCAGCAGGCCGCGCTTGGCAATTCAACCAATTCTAATTTTGATACAGAAAATGCGTCTCAGCACACGTACGCGGCAAAAAACTGGTAAAGTAATTTTGGCGGACTCAACGACGTACAAACTTTATGAATCCTCATGATGAGGTGTCATGCTTCTCAAGTCCCAACTTCTTTCGGACCGCATTTACGCGAAGTTACATTCCGCTGAGTTTTCGGCGACAGTCTTTCACCATAAAATGTTCTCTAGAAATAAACTGATAATCTACGGGTTTTCTTGAAAGTTTGAGTAGAATGAGTTTGCTCTTTTCCTGCAAGATGAATAGTCCGTAGATTTTTCTAGAAGGCGGTTAATTCTGACTCAAGGAATCGCAGTCTGCAAAATCAAACTTGCATCATGTTCGGTCGGCGGGTGTTCCTGAAGACTCTTTGATGTTCAAGGCCACGCTCCGATGTAAGGGGTTTTAATAGTCGCCTGACGGGAGTTCATTTGCAGTAGTTTTCTGGATAGCCGAAAGCGGACTAGATTAGCCTATGCTTTGCTACGGTTTAATGTTCACAGTTCGATGAGCAGGTGTCCAACATAAAAGGGACACCCAGTCCTCACGGCAAACGGAGGTTCGTACCCACATCTGCGTATTTTAACAGAATCCTTACTGCGCCTGTAATAAGTCTGCCAAAAACAAATGACTCATCCTAGGACGGTGGCAGATTTTTGCGGTAGAAGGAAGTAGACACGCAATGATATAGTTTACTTTGAACTGTCGGTGATGAGCGCCGGACTAAAGCCAATATATCATTAGTGCCCGCGTCATACAAATCTGCCTCCTCTCTCCCCTTAGGAGCTGATGACTTCCTAGTAGTAGTAAAGAAGACATTAGTCTCTAGTACTTCCCTCTTTTCGAGTTTGAAATGGACCGGCATATTGCCTTTTCAGTCCTGCTATGCTGTGCAATAACGCACACACAATTACGCTCCTCCCATTCGGCCTCTGGGTATGTCGCCGAAACAGACCAGAATAAGCGAAGATGCGAGTTCCAGGAAATAGTTGAGCAGAAGCAGAAGCGATCGCTGGAACAAGGGCTTTATTTACTGACGTTTCGGATTCTTACTTGAATACATCATCAGAGACAGTAGCTGTCTCTCATTGTCTCTGATGATGGATTCACGTAAGAATTCGAAACGTCAGACGAATAAAGTCCTTGTTCTAGCGACCGCTTCTTCTTCTGATCAACAGACCGGAATCATCATCATCATCATCACCACCATCATCCACAGCAACAACATCGTCGTCGTCGTAGTCGTTTTCTTCTTCTTCTTCTTCTTCTTCTTCTTGTGCTACTTTGACATAGTCAGTTTCGGAAATTAGACCACCCACGTGCGTGGGCTGGACAGCCAACCACATTTTACCCATTTCAGCAGTCGTCATTTTGACCAACTTCGGGCGTTTCAATCGCACAGAATATGGCTTCACTCTTCGCAGGCAGAATCACTGCAGCTGGTAGGGGTTGCTTTGCAGTGTAGGTGGAGGTCAGCATGCCGTGAGTGCTGTGACACATCGTTCGCCTCCCGTTTCGAAACCCCAAAAAAATTCTTCAGGATTGCCTTACCTTCATTCAATGTACAGAATCCCATTTGCGTATAGCGCCTCAAGCGCGTATATGCCTTGCATTTATGGCACCCATGTAGTGCCATGAATCACGTGACCACGGCGGCCAAGCGGCCGGAATTTGTACGGTAGCCAATCAAAGACGTCCACAAATGCCGGAATCAGTCTATCAGACTATCATGCTGACCACCATTGTCGCTCACGTGACCCTTATTCAGCCATGCCTACATAACCACCACGATCAGGTGCGTGACCTATCTCAGTAAATATTGGCGGAAATTCGGAAATGCGTTTCCCATTAGGAAGGTTTACTTGGTCGCGGTTGTGATACTGATTATCATAAGGCATACTCTTATAACAGTCTGGACTCGGCAGGATGTCGGCTTTTAAATGCACTTCCTTTCAATCTCCTGTAAAAACGTGCTCGGTAAAAAATTACTACTTAAGTAACATGCATTTTTCCCATTGATTTTCGATGGTCTTGGAAATTCACATATAATTTATAGAAACCATAAACAAAAAATGTTCTCTTTCAGTCGTTCAAAAGGGGATCACGTTTTCTTTCTATTTTGTACTTAAGGAAGGAGTATAATTAGGGTTTACAAAAGTTTTTAATTATGAGATTTTTTAAGACCGCGAAATTTCCATTAACATAGCATCGTAACTGGACGTTTTCCACTGCTCCTCATGAAATGTACAACATGGTCCGCATCCATTGCAAAATTTTATGGATTTTATGTAGCATCTTTTTAAAGGCATCGAAGAATATGTGATTTTCTTTACGCGGAACGCATGCACCTTGTAGAGTGAAATCACTGAGCGCAAATGCAACGAATACTCAGGCTCTAAATTATTCGGCAATTAGAAAACCTTTTCAAAACCTATTTATACTCCTTCCTTAAGTACAAAATAGAAAGAAGATGTGATTCTCTATTGATTGACTAAAAGAAAGCACATTTTTGTTTGTGGTTTCTATAAAATATATTTGAATTTCCAAGACCATCAAAAATAAATATGAAAAAAGCATGCTACATAAGTAGTAATTTTTTGCCGAGCATGCTTTTACAGGAGATTGAAAGGAAGTGCATTTAAAAGCCGACATCCTGCCGAGTCTAAAATGTTATAAAAGTATGCCTTAAGATAATCAGAATCAAAACCGCGACCAAGTTATCCTTCCTAATCGAAAACGCATTTCAGAATTTCAGCCAACATTTCATGAGATAGGTCACGCATTGTACCTTCTACCGGTACCTTTCATTCTCTTTTCAAAAATGGGACTGCGCTATGGGTAGGTTCCTCCGAGTACACTCACCACTTAGGCGCCATAAGCGAAAGATTTTATGTGAGAAAATTGCACCCATGAGTTCACGTATTTGCATCTCATGCATTCGTGTGGGGGGAGGTGGGTTATTTGGGAGTTTTTGCTCCCGGCTGTTATACCTAACGACGAAAGCGGTAGTTGCGGGATTGTGGGACTTGTTGATACGCGTGTAAACCCACCATCCGACACCCCCTACTGGGCAGCAACGGGTTGAAAAATGGTTTTTCCTATGCAGACATGCCTGAGCGCCCTAAAAGCAATCTGGGCAATCCTAGGTCAAGGCGAGAGCACCACGTTGTCGCCCACCTATCGGAACTGAACCACCAGGAGGGCAGTAGAGTAACACTGGCCTGTCCGCAAGTGATCTCACATGCTTTACACTCTTTTCCTCACTTCATAGCCACCCATGTCTCACTCCTAACAGCCTGGTAGTTGAGACCCGTCGGGTTGCGTGACTGGGACACTTAGAGTTGGGAGAGGTAGGTGGGGCTGTGGAAAGCGTCATTTTTTGAGGGTTGGGGGAGGAGGTGCGGGGTGCGAGCCTGGTGGGGGGGGGACGGGGGAGGTGATGGAGTGTTTGGGAGCAATTTGGCCGTTCTTAAGCACCTTATTGCGTCTGTTTTCTACTGGCACGTATGCGCATACGCAATGGCGAGGAAAGTGGAGCTGGGACGGGGTAGGGGAGGCCTGGAAGGAGACTGGGTTGGAATTAAACCGACTCAGGTGTCCGCCTGGCGAGATCTGACAACTTGTCGAGGCTAGGGAACCTGCGTGCTCTCCTCCGACGTCTGGACAGTCCACTCGGACTGTTACAAGCATACTCTAACAATCGTCAGCGTGTCAAGACGCGCACTGTCATTAGCGACTGTTGTAGCCAAAGTACTCAGTTTCTCATATGGAACAGAAGTTAACAAGCGGTCGACACCGCTGAAATGGCATCGGAAATGCCTGTGGAAAGCCACCTAGAACATTTTTGCCCGTATTACTAATATTTAGCGAGGATCCTCCTCGGAACTAAAAAGACGCGCGGTTAATACGCTTGATTGAGTCATGTATGGTAGTCCTCTTAATGACAGAGGAATATTTGACTTTCCTTACACTCGTAAGCCAAAAACCCAAAACGCAAATGTGACGGCAGGTTGAGGCCAAAACTATTTAGGAATTGAACAAGTTTTTGAAGCAAACGTAGATACCTCCTTTGAGTATTGGATTTTAATAGAAGACGTTATTGCCTGCCTAACTAATATAAAAGTGGACACTTCAGTGCATGTTCCCCGGAAAATATTTGAGTTTAATGAGGCATCGAAAATTAACAAAAGAAATGCATATTATTTGAGTAACAGTTTTCAGCGTGTAGGAATTTTGCAGGAACTCAAAAAGAAAAGCATTCAGATGCATATGTCCTGATGTGCCGGGAATATTATGGGACTATATTGCAATCAGTATTGGAACCCCATTTAAGTGAAACTTCCTACTCATGCATTATATGTATATAATGGTAGGGGGCGCTCACCGATAGTTCTTACGGAACTCACTCGTTCCTTTGTGCCTAACAGGCTCTCTCTCGAGCCCAACCAGCAGCCACACAGCGGCACATGATATAAGCAGTGTGTTATTACCGACAAAGACAAGGGAGTCACTTTTGTTGGCTCCTCTACTCTCAGTCTGCGTCTGACGACGACTTAGGGAGCCGCCGTCGAAAATGTCTGCAATAAAGTTCCTTTTAGGAGGGTAGATATCCCAATAAATGTAAGTCGAAGTTGAATACAAGCTTTGGGAAGGGAAGCTTGTTGTGCAAATTTTCGACGCCGGTTCTCGGGGTTGTCATCAGACACAAACGGAGAGCAAATGTGCCAACAAAGTTAACATTTTAAGTGTATAAGTATAAATATATAATAATGATTGGGGCAACAAAGATCTATTGTGTTCCCAAAGCAAACAATCTCCATATGTGTGACAAAGGTCACGAGCAGGCAAACAATTGTCAGGCCGAAGTCGGCCAAGTCATACTAGCAGCGAGGAGGGAGGACAGAGAATGCGGGTAGATTGATACATTACTGTTTCGGGCTTATTCTGCCTTCACTCAGTCAATAATAACCCTGACCACCAGCAGCTGGGACCAGAAACACAAACATGCGCACAGACGCACCTGGCGCAGTTGGTCCACCACTGAGGCCTACCAGATGGGTCATAAGCACTTAATCGAAACGAAATTCATCAATGCCTCTCCACCTGTCATTCTCTGTCGCTGCAGATCGGGTATTTATTCAATCAGGAAAGGGCGCCCACCGATCTATTGGCTTCACGAAGAAAACAAGCTTCGCATGGGTATATATATGCATGCATTTGGGGTTAGTGAGCAATTACAATATACCTAATCATATTCTTGAAAGTCTTTAGGCGCCATGGGAAGGTGATTATTCTGTATGCATATGTGTAAAGTTGTTCTAATATGGGAAGAAATGTAAGCTTATCCGTATCCCGTCCAAGACAGTAGTAAAATGATGCTGCAGAAAGAGGCTGAAAACACAAAATTGCTTGTCCAAGCGAAAATGTGATTTCAACAATGAATCCCGAGGATACAGTAATCCTCCATGACTAAGACCGACGACGCAGTTAGTTCGGGGAATGTTGCTGATAGAAGCGACCAGGCGAGTTCCAGGTAGCAGTTCAGAAGGGGAGCATTGTTATAATATCCATTCCATTTGGAGGCAGCTCATATCCTGTAACCAAGTAGCCCCTTTTCGTCTCCTCCCCCTGCCTAAACGGTTCACGTGATAGAGGCGCTGGACTAACATAATGGCCATATCAGATTCTGGCAGGCGTTATCGAAATGCGCACCATAACAAGTGCCAGCATTTCGAGGGTGCGGTGGCAGATCCGGCAGCCGGCAGACGTTGCACATATTGGGACCCCTACCGCCCCCCCCCCCTTTAATGTTGTTGTTCACTGAAAAAGCTGGCTTCTCGTTGTGCAAACCAGTGGATGTGGAGTGGAGCGTCAAGGTGCGGGCCGGAACGTGCCATCCACCTGCGAGCTCCCCCGCCTCTTGCCTTCTTGATTCTGTCTTGACAGCTGGTCCAGGTGTGGAGTGGGGAGGAGAGTGTGCGGTAGACGCTGTGCAAGTCTACTATCACTGTAAACTGAATCACGCGCAGGTCATCGTGCCTGCTTCACCTTGCGCACGGCAGACATCGTCGGGATCGACAGTTGACCGTCGCTTCGCCTGCTTCCGTTTTCTACTCTTTTCTATCTTGCGTGGACTCTGTAAGCTTGACTTCCGTAAGCATGAAAGCTGCTGCTGTTCACCGACCTGAACGCGGATATTTAAACCTACAAGCGTAATGACACCACTTAGGCAGCTTTTTTCCATTTGAGATTGTCAGCAACAGATGCGCAGCCACAGAAGTCCTACGGTGCAAAGATTGACTTAAGACTACCTAAAATGCCAAATGCCTTCCAGTGCTGCAATCATTGACAGGTGTTTGGCAGTTCTCAG